TTATTGGTATTGTTGCTTGGTATAATAAGTATTTGTTGGCAATTAAACCTTAACTTTATCATTTCTGCCCATAAGCCAACAGAAAACAATGCCACCATTCACAGCTTGTATTAGATTCAAGTCAATGTTTCTTCTTATATATATTTTTCCTGTCATCCATATCAGTCAGTTTTTCAATGCTGTAATATTTGGTAGCCCTGTGAGTGGTCTATCTATCTATCCATCCATCCATCCATCCATCCATCCATCCATCGGGGTCTGGCCATTTTACTTGTCTTTTTTTTTTTTTACATCCAAGTAAACATCGCAGGTGCACTTATAGTTATGTTTTTATATGCTAAACAAGTCCTTCAGTCTAAAAAATATATGTATGCTTGGTTGGGTATAAGTGTGCTATATTTTACATTAGTTATAGAAATGGAAAGCTTCTTTGAAGAGCACCTTTCATTCTACTTCTGGATGGATGTGATTGCCCTGAGGAGATACAACAAACGCGCATGCTGTCATTGATTAAATAATCTTCTATAAAGGACAGATGAAAAGAGAAATGGATGCAGAAAGACGAGAGCAGAGCTAGACTCTAGTGCTAATAAAGCCAAAATGCTCAGCATACTTGGATTTGAATGAGTAAATATAATGTGCAGATGCAGACCTATGAAATACCTAAGTGCACACACTAAGATTTCACAAATACATGCGTGCAGCTCCATCTCTGGCATCTTCCTGTGTACTCACTGAGTTGAGTGTCTGGAACTCTAATACATTATGCATTAGCCCTCAACACGTCCTTGACCAGGGTTACATAAATTTCACATACATTACAGATGTAATCCATTCTAATGAGCTTAGACTTTATCTACTTGGGCATGAAAAACACAAGGGAATTAGGACACTCAAGGCAAGATAAATATCATCATGCTGCATACTTAGCATTTGTTGGTAAAGTTTTAATGTCAGCAAATGTAGGTGTAAAACCATACAGGGTGATTGTATACACACTGCAGCACACTGCAGTGGCAGCTGGTGATTTTCCTGAATGGGGCAAAAGACATTAAGGACCTTTGCTTACATAGTAGAAATGCTGTTGCCTCATATGCTGAGCTCTGATGTAAGAACTTTTGTTACTATTATTTGAGTAATTTACTCAAGAAATTAACCACACACCTTTGCTCAGCTTGACTAGTTCCTTTCTTTCCCTACAGCACAGAAAGAAGACTTACAAAATAATGTGGAATATACATTAACTCCCATTTTATTTATAACATGATGAAAACATAGTTTCAGCTCCTTTCAGTGCTTTTAGGCCAACCAAAAGTTAAAGCAAAGTAAGGATGAAATGTTTTACAGAAAAAACCTACCGTATAATTGATCTATTGATTCTGTCTTGTTTTCTTTCGATTTTTCATTTAAAGTGTGGAATAAAGTTGGATAGCTTCTATATAATTATTGTGATGAATGCAAACAGTGACAACCTCTGCTACACACTTGTATTTCTACATGGCCTCTTCACTGACAGTGCTGCCGGTTTCTTGTTAATTCCATTGTTTACGCAGTTTCAATATGACAACTTTACAAATTTATGGGAATAGCATGTCTATCATTTTATAGCAAAACATTCTCCTGCGGAGGGACTCAAATACTGCCAAAGGCACTGACATCTCCGACACGGTACACTCTGGTGTCTATGCCCTTACTGACAAGCGGTATCAATATTGAACATAAAGAGCCATGTTTATACTGTTTATAAATGAGAAAAAGTCCACATGAAAAACACAGGATCGTGAGTGGTGGTGTAAATCTCATGACTCTGAACCAGACGACATCGACTGTTTCAGCTTTATTTTATTTATTTATTTTTTTAGCTTACTTTAACTTTTGGGTTTATGTCACAAAATACAACTAAAAGTTAACACATGTTATGTTAATCAGTAAAACATCAAGATAGAGATCTCATTGTAATGTCTTCTATATACACCTGCACTTTTTCCACTGTTGAAGTACTTACCACTTTAAAAAAAAATGCTAAAAACAAGGGTTAAGGCTTAATGGTTAGACGTCAGTGTCTGCATATTTGTATGCACCAACCTGTGTCCTGATCACAAATCTGCTCACAGGGTTCAGTGGTCCTCTGGCCGCAGTAATCCTGGACCCATTGTGTGGATGAATTGGTCTGATAGTAGAGAGTTAGCTTTGCTGGATTTAACCAATTAGAAACATCCAAGAAACTGCCCATGCTCACCACAAAACTACTTCCTGAAAAAAAGAAAAACAAAACAAAACAGGAGCCAATTATTTTGCATGAAAAAAAGGCAAAAATAAACAAACAAACCACAGAAAAGTAGAACAGATGTGATTGTGTTGTATTTATGCTCTAGGTTTGAGGTTCTATTGCAAAATCAATTGGAAAGTAGCTAAATCTTTTGTTTTCACTGTAATTTCATTTCCCATCTGACCAGACTGAATTTAAATGAGAAAATTAAGACCTATAATGTGTATAGATTGGGTGTTGTTGGTAATTGCAGTAGAGGGGCTAAAAGGGTTTCACGAGTCAATCAGTAAACGCTATGCTTAATGACGCTGACTTACCTTTCTTTCTTACTGCTCTCAGACCAATCGTTAAACTCCAATCACCGAACAAGATTATCTCTAATTGATGCCAATGAGTTTTGGTTCCAAAGGGAGCTGTGAGAAGGCTTTCTGGATTCTTATACAGCTATATTATGGGTCATGGACGGTACATTTGCAGAAGCATTAACAGTATATAATTCTTTGTCCAGGTGAATTCAAAATGCATTAGAACATCTATATATTAAAACAAAACAAACAGGTTCGGTACAGCTAGATGAACTGCATCAGATGGATGTGTGCAAGTCCTTTGTGCTGTGGTAAAATATACAGCTCATATGAGAATAACAAATAATGTTTCGCCTTTACATTCTGTAACAAACAAAGCAATGACATCCCAAAACTCATCTGTTCTCTCTCTGTTATTTATTTATTTTACCCTTTTAACATTTTGGTTGTTCTGAAGTCCTGACAGAATACACTGCCATTTGTTTCCTCCTACACATGAAAAGTCATCAGCTGCTTCTTTTCATTTGACAGAAAAACACTGCCACAGTACAGTGTGACCAACACAAAGCCTTCAACAAATGTACTTGGTTTTCCCTAAAAATTAAGTACCAAACCATGTGTTAGCATTCAATCTTATCGAGACCAATGACCTGCATGTTTTTATCTGTTACATTTGATAGCTTGTCAGATGATCCCACATTGTTTATTGGTTTAAGTGTCTGGCGTAAAACACATTTTGAATCAATCAATATGTTTTGAACATTTTCAATTAATAAGTGCATAATTCTGTATAAGTCATAGCAAAATAACCATGGTAACAATCTTCCCTAGATATGAAAGATCGCTGGTGTTCTTGAAAGTAAAGTGTTCAGTACCCAGCAAAATGCCAGAAGCCCAAAATAAATCGCTAAAAGCCTTTACGAGGTCAAAGTGACCAAAGGTAAGCATGACAAGGCCCCTTTCTGCCAGTAGGTCTCATTTACAGTGATACTGGCAGAAGTAAATTCTTCTGCTAACATGCTGAGGAGAGAGCTGATATGCAGCCTTCTCTGAGTCCTGTAAAGAAATCCCACTTGGGGAGTAGGAGCATTGTTCACTTAGCTCTGCATATTATGATTCAAATGCAGAAGAATGGGGAGAAAAAGAAAGCATTGTATATCAGTGTCAATGCGGTAATCAAAATAATGACAGTAATAATGAATGGGTGCAACAAAAAATTTCATTGACTTATTGACACATATAATTTTGTGTTATTTTTCGTTAATAAGTTGTTTGTGCTTTCCTCTATTGTATACTGCTGTATTATTTCAATTATCTACACAATGTCATGTTTTTGATAATTGAGTTACATGACTGGGTATCTAATTGATAAGATTCTTTGACAGACAGTCACATTTAAAATATGACTATTTTTGCAAATATAATTAAGGTATTTACACCATGACTCTAAAGTGAATGTCAGTTAACAGAAAAGCAACACTGGAGTAATTAGAATATAAAAACACAAGAATATGTCGGTACACTTAATTCCACTACTAGTTGATTTTGAGCTGCGTATCTCACAACGTTGGCTAAATGATCTGAGTCTTCTTAATCTGCTGCTCCAGTTTCCTTTCTTGTTACCTGCCTGTAAATAAACTTCTGTTCTCTCTCTATCTATCTCATTTTTTTCCATTAGGCTCCCATTAGCTGTAGCCTTAGTGATTATTATAAATGCTTTGTAGTTGTTTTTGTTTACCTTTCACTGTCATGGCAACTGGCTGCTCACATTCAGTTTATTCATCATGCTAATGGCTGATATCACCACCTGACTATTCACCTGCATCGTACCAGCATATATTAGATATAGAGCAACTCACGTCCTTTGTGTCAACTTATAAAGTATATAAGCAGACAGAAGAAACAGAGCATTTCGTCTGTCTGCTTGTACATTTCCTGAAGTGACTTATAGTTATGTGTTGCTTGCCAGTTGGAATTGTTTTGTTTGTTTATCTCGTGGATTTGTTTGTTTGCTCTGACTGCCTGCCTGCTGCCGACTGTATGCATGCCAGACTACAGGGTTAAGCTGCCTTTTACCACATCTGCTCTGCCTCAGGTGTCTGCTTTTCTGTGTCCGAGTTCCAGCACACACAGTTTGTTTGCAGGGGAAAAACAAAACTAGAATCCTAAAACCCTTATCTTAACTCCTTCGAGGTGTACAGTTTATGTTCACCCTGCAGTAAACACACATGCAGTATGGAATGCACAACATGATTTTCCTCGTCCAATATCTTATTCTGTAGTGGGGCTTAAATGCAGTAGTGAGTGTCGCACTACAACGAAGCTCATGGACTCGGCGAAATTAAAATACACGAGTGCTGGTTTATCATGAATATCTACGATTATTTCATTAAATTCCAAATATGATTTTTGATACCTCGCAGGCTGATCATTAGGCCAAAGGAGAGCTTCAGGGGCATCCAAAAATTTAGATAATTATTGTGTATAACTTGATATTCCTCACTGCTAGTAGCAGTAGAAGGTCAAAAAGGTTACTAAAATAAGTCAATAATCATTCTCCATATTAAATTTGAAAGCGTCCTCGCTGCCAGTGGTAGAGATTTACACTACACTATGTGTGTTATGGAGAGGGAGAAAAAGACAACATTATAGACACTCAAAAAAACCGTGATTATTTTGTAATACATTTTTTGAGTAATTGCCCCACAAAGCTCAGAAGTAAGTGGACAAACTTCATTGTTTTTAATACTTTGATGAAAATCCTCGAGTCATTGACAGGCGACAGGTTCCTATGCTGTGTCTTTATTGTGGCCACCTTTTGTTGCTGTTTGTATATGGATATGACAGCCTTACATTTTGTCAGCAGTAACAAAAAAGCATCTTGTTGTAACATCAAGCCATCTTTACACGTTGACAATTATTTGCCTCTTTCCTTGAGTACTTTTCACTTGGCTAGACCTTACTGTGGCTTTTATTTGCTTAATTTGACATGAAATAAGAGGAAGCAGCTTTTGTTCATTAGGCAATTACCCAACTACTTTAGAATCTGAAAATAGGGCCCTATGAATAAAAATAGCTAATTTCTAAACAAAATTCATGTGATAATTTTGTTAATCGCGTTAAATGAAAACCGATAGTCTGCACTCTAATCACATCTTGATTCTTTCACTTCATATCCACTGTGGTGGTATACAGAAGGAAAAAACAAACTGCGTCAATGTCAAAATACTCTAACGGTATGTTTATTTTACTGTAGATATCCAATAGTTACAGAATATATATTTTATGCACGCCTCCGTTTTCATGAAGTGTCCACGGGCACACAAATTCTGAGAGCGTGGGAGGACAAGAAATGAGACCTCAATGGCAGAAATGCCTTTTTGACTGATATGTGAAATCTTTCAGAGATGCATCAATCATTAGTTAAATTGCCTCAGCTCTTCACTCTCTCTTACTTCACTTAGCTCCTTGTACATATTCAAGTTTTCTCTCTTCTCCTAGTAAGGTTTGTTTTGCAGTATCGTGTCAACACACAGACCCAATTTACAATTAGCTCACTGTCAACAAGGAATTTTAAACAGATTAAATAATACTCTAAGCTGTTGCATGGGTCTGTTGCTTACAAACTCCATTTTTGTGAATTTAAACTTCTTTTGTCAACAACAAATGTTTTTGTGTCCCCATGTGAGCATATAAATTGACAGGAAATGGTATCAACTCCTTATTGACAGAGAAGTTCTTTATATTCGATTTCACTGACTATAGTTTTTATTTTTTTTGGAAAGCATACTTTCTGTCTGTGAAGCCAGCTTCTAATATGGCACTGATACAGCAGAAATATATCTTGGAGTTCTTATGTAACATTAGATGAATATGCATTGTTTGTATCAGGCTAACTGAAAAGATAAAAACAATAGGTTAATATTTTAATCTACAGCATGCAGTCACATGAAAAAGGGGCTAAATACTAAAAGCTCAGTTGAAAAACGAAAAATAATAATAGCCATAGTGTGTGCACAATGCTCTTCATCACTTTAATGGCTTTAAATGTCACTCAGTTTTTTGTGGTGATAATCAATCTTTTTTTCTTCCATTGCGAGCTTTCAGCGCGTGGGCTTTATTGTTCTGATTTTTGTTCATTTTTCGGTTCTAGAACATGATTTTCTCTTTTGTTGGATGAATGTTCATCTTTTGTACCTTATCAGTCGTGGAAAGGGGGCACTGAAACTGAAAGGCATTGAAATTGAAAACCACAAATCACGGTTGAGGGGGTGGGGAGTTTAATGCAGGCCATGTGAAAACAGAAACGGAGAATGTTGAGCTAGCCCCGGTCCATTAGCTGTTCCTCCTAACAACAAAGACTAAACTAATGACATAATACGTTTCAGTGCTCAACAACAACATGCAACTCGACAGTTATCTCTACAGTACGCTGCTCGACTGACAACTGTAACCAGTTATTGTTGGAAACAAACAAAACAATAAGATGCTATACTATGTGGGATAATGGCTATTATGATAACATGCTCCACAAATCTAGCATATCGCTTGTATTAGACGTTTTCAAACTGCTGCTTGGGCTAAATAACCACACTGCATCTTAGTAACATTTTGATGGGTTTAATGTAAGTATAATAAATCCTTGCATCTTCATCTCCATGTTTGATTTTAGTATTTGCGAGTTTCCAGTCAGCAAACAGATCTGTGTAAATTGGACCCAGGAGTTCTGTGAGCTGTCAGATCTACTAAGATTTTCATATCATATCATGTAATTTGAATCAAAATGAAAGAGTGCATAAAAACAGTGATGTGTAGTGAAGTCAGTTTCCAGCAAAAGTAAACACTTTTTGATGCTTTACTCGTTAAATATTCTGCCAAGGTCTAATAAATGCCCTGCACTTACCATCCGCAACAAAATGCTCTGGCACATGGAGGGTGACCTTAACAGTGAGGGGGCAGGAATCCTGCGTAGCATAGACAATGGCAATGACACATGTGCTGATAGTAATCAGTGTCAAGGTGACCTTATTTAGAGGACTGTGTGGATGGCCTGAAGGGAGAGAAAGAGAAAAAAGTAAAGGTAGACAGTTTAACAGTGGCCCTTTTGTTTTTATTAGAGTCTTAAACAGGTGACAGGACCATAATACACACAGCCACACAAACGTTTAACAAAATCATCTCGTTTTGCACTGTCCTTTCCTGAAAAGCCCTCCTCAAAGCCTTGAGAATGCAATTCATTGTACTGCTGATTTATGAATCCAACCCTGTTTCAAGTTTGGCCTGTGTAGATATGACTTGGGTTAACACTGCTTCTGCACACCCCAGAATCATTTGCCAGTATGATATATGATCTTATTGCTACTGACAGGGTTATAGATTGGTTGTTTTGGTTGCCCTTTGGCTCTGTCAGGGATCTTATTTCTAAGCTAAGGTATAGGAAATGAAATTAGCCGCTTAACCTCTGTCTACAGATATTTATCATGGGAGAGAAGTTGGCATGTTAAACGGAAGCTTACTGGGATGTGTGTAGGATAAGGTGATGATAGAGTAGCTTTGGAAACACTGCTCTAATGCGTTGAACAACCTGAAAATAACTCTTGTACTTTCTTAAACCAGTCACAAGAAAACATCACGTAATATTTCAGAATCTGCAGGCTTCAGAACTGTGCGAATAGCTTCTAGGAAGGGAGCTTCCCAGTGTGTATCCTGCGCTCTGCAGGTTTGTTGCAAAAGTCAATAGAAATGGCACAACTGCTCATGGAAGTCTGTTCTCTGCAGTAGAACTCATCACACTGTTTTGTTTAAATAAATAAATAAATACATTTGTTTATATATTTATTCATTTCAATGCCCAATAGCTTCCACAATGGGAATCGACTAATGCTCTGTGTGCTAGTTAGAGGTATGTTACTACATCATTTAGTACCACTGAAAAACACAGCCGTGTACAATTGTTCTGTGAATGCCAATTTCAGCTTTCCCCATATAACGTTTGACTGATCACATTCGCAGTGTTCAAATGGTCAAACAGACTGAAATAAAACAAAGCAATATCATAGAAAAGAAAGTTTCACCAGTATTCCCCTGTGGAAAGGCACTTTAATCTTGACAGAAGCTCGGAGGTAGTGAAATGCAGCTCAAGGCCAAACAAGGAGACAAAGTTAGGGTAATGGATTGACCCACACCGACTTGCACGTCTTACTCACTGTGATGGCTTTGTGAAGGGATAGAAACAATGGTTGTCTACAGAAATAGTGGCTGAGCAGCTAATGTCAGTGGGGTGCGGGTGGTGTCACTGGGCTTGTGAAGGGTTCCCTCAATTACTATAAAAGCTTACTGAGTAGACAAAAGCATGCGCACTCACGATGGCAAACACTTACATTATGGTCACAAACCAAGCATCCTTTCTGTGCTCAAACACACGCATAAAGTCACATGTAAATTTTAACTGAATGCACAAATACAAGGAGTGCACTAAACTCTTTATGTTTACTCTCATTCGCCTCCCCTCTGTCCATCATCTAATGAAAGAGCTACCTTTTTATACAGGCTGTAACTTTAACACAGGTCATGGCCATGGATTTTATTTTCCTCCAAGCTGTAAGGCCACAAAGACTTGATAATAAAATCTGTCAGACCAAGGTGTCAGTTAAAGTAAAGACGCCTGTTCTAGTGCATTTACACTCACAGGCAATTAACCATTTTCAGAACAGTTGTGGTTAATTGCATGTTCACACTGGACCATTCTGTGTTTAAATGTATGTAAACAGGAAATGTAATGGTAGGAAATGAAGTGACAGAAGGCTACAGAGCCAATTACAGGGGTAGGTTCATTCAATTCGTTCAATTCGTTCTTGTCCTTCATTCCGAAAAACGTTGCAATTATCTAAGACCATATGCACATGCTTGATATCTGAAATCTACCCAGCTGCTGTCTCCAATGTACAGAAAAATAGAGACATTTAATTGGAGAATCCGCTTTTAGATGAATTATATATCTGCAGTTCTATAGAGTTAAGAAGTTTTGTTTTTTTTTCAAATCGTACATTTCCTCTCTTTTATACTTCTAATAGAAATCGCAATTGGAAAAGCAACTAAATTGCTTTTCTAATTGCTTTTAGATCCTATTCCCACACCAGAAGGCTTACAACCAAATTAATAAGATTATAAAGTGGTGTGTGATTTATTGTCCTCTTGACCTAGTGTTGTTTAGGTGAACTGCAGACACAGGGTTTAAAAACATCATGATTTTCATCATTTTTGTCAGCTACTTTATAGATATACACAGACTATGTAATTCATATACACACAAATCCAGACTCTTCACTATCACATATCACTATGGGAGAGGAAGTTGAAAATCATGCATTCAAGTTATGTGACTCAGCTTAGGTCATCACAAAACTCCCATTGACATCAGCTCATATGTCTGCTTTGAATGTCATTGAGCTGTGGAACAGCACTCCCAGCCCCACTGGGAACATACATGACCCCTTCCTACTTCCAGCTATGCTGACAATTCCGGAAATGACTAGCCTCATTTGACTCAGCTTTAATGTTCTCTCCCATCATTCCCTCTTATATTCAAATGGGATAAGGCTGGCGTTCATTTGTTTTTGTATTATACTCCCTTTTGACTTTAATGTCTTCTCAGCAGCGCGCAGTGGCTAAGAGGGTCTCCTGCTGAGTAAGTTAATGTGTAAAAAATGTACGACATTTATTATAATACACCTGAGTTTCTTCCCACCTTTGCTGCGCCTTCGTCCTCTGTGCTGCTCTGTGTAAAACTTCATTTGGTTGTCATCTTCAGGCTCTGATCCCGATTCCCCTTGAGGACCAAACACACCTCCAGCCTCTGGTGGTGAAATGTAAAGACAAACAAAGGCAAAAATAAATCTAATTAGAATCATAATTCAGTTGATTGTTTGTTTTTCAGATATAGAAAATATAATGCAGTCGGGGTACAAGCAGTTATTCAACCTTTGGGTGTTGTGTATATAGAGCAGGACATAATATATTTTTACAATATGGACACAACAGTACACAGATTTTTAACTAATCAAATTTCCACTTCTTACCACCTTTGCTGCCACTCGTGGTTTGATCTGTTGGTGAGTTGTCAAATGTTAAAAAGACTTTGGAGCTCAATTTTCTAATCATATTAGGTAAAGTGTGTGCATATTTGCATGTCTGACTCTGAGTTAGAGTGACAGCAAGAGCAGGGCTGTGAGTTAAGAGGCTTTGTTTATTACTGCTTTGGCACTGCAACATCAAAACACACACACACACACACACACACACACACACACACACACACACACACACACACACGAGGGCTGACACACAGTGATAACAGTCAGGGATTTGCAAAGTGTAAAACCACTGAAGGATAACATAACATAAAATATCTGTAAATGGCTTCAAACTACAGTCTCAAACCAGATTAAAAAATGTCCAGTAGACGGTTTATGTTAAATATCTTTATTATTGTACCACGCACATTCTTTCATGTATCATTTAGGTTTAGTCATAAAAATGATCTTATGCTAATAAGATCCAGATTTCCTCATGGTTATACATATGTTTTGCTTGTATTACCCAGAGGATCACAGTGATTACACTTCCTAATCTCCTGGAGTAGAAAAAGAATAAAGGACAGAGTGAAAATCAATGCTTGTGATGACCATAAATACACATCTAAGAAAAAACGTTTCACTCGATGACTACGAGTTAAAACAAAGACAAAGAACAAAATTAGGATAAGTGCATTATGTCAATACACTTATTTTTATGATACATGAGGACAGCTGATAATGACACAATGACAAAAGCATTTACTTTTCTGCAAGAGACAAAAGCTTTATCCCCACAGGAATATGACTTTTAAGTCATATTCAAGCATTCATAATTGTTTCATTCCTGGTATATCATTAAGAAAATGCAGTGCAACGTGGATGAAGGGGGTACTTAGAGTAAAATAGTTCTTGGCCAGCATATGGTGACAAATTGATCATTTCGCATAAATCAAGTCAAATGACAGCTCGCTTGTACGTCCCTTACAAAAGTGACCGCAAAATATATATACAAAATTAATTGGATTCATTCCAGTCACAATTTAAGTGTCAGTGTATAAAGTACAAAAGCTTGGTTATTCTGAAAAATTGATGGCTAAGGAAATTGATCAGGGGCTTGGATGCTCTCAATTTAGGGATGTCACATTGTGTTAAGACTAAGCTGGAGGACGGTAAGTTTTTTTTTTCAGAGAGTAAAGTAAGCAAAAGCAAGCAAAAATAAGTAAGATAATAAACTAACAATATTATGAAGATATGGTGAACTCTTCATAGTGAAAAACAGAGTAGACACCACCCACCACAGGCAAATAAAGAGAAAAAAAATAGGCGCAGGAGCAACTCATAAGAAAGTATACAGATCTAACACTGTTTATCATCTTGAAATCTAGTATTTTTTATAGATGTCATTAAGTCCTTATTACAATAAGGTAGATTAAAAAAATCCTTTCTTCCTTGTTCACTGGACACAGTCAGAATTTCAAGGCAAGTGCTGAGCAATGTCAGGTGAAATAGACTCCTTCATTCACTTCATTAACATTATGTTACAGCTCATGAACATTTTCGTGCATCATAAAAGATTTAGACATGATTAAAAGGTCTATCAAGTCAGTGTAGAAAGCATACACTGAAAACTGGAATCATTCTTTTGGTCTCATGCACTTAAACAAGTCTAGAGTTGAGTTGGAATTCAAGCATAAGTCTGGTGCTGTTTGGAGGGTGAAGCCAGGGCAATGTGCTGTAAAATTGGTTCTGGATTTATGCATAGTCTTAGAACATGCCCAAAAAGGTGGTAGAGGAAGAAAAGACAGGGAGTGTACTGTATTTCAGGTAGGTCTTTTCTGTTACACCTAATGAGGAACAAGTGTAATTTATTGAAAAGTAGTAACACATACTGTCTCTATGCAATATTTATGCATATTATTTAAAACCTGTGTATGTCTCCTGGGCCTTAGGTTAAAGCAAGTCAAATTTTAATATATAATCTCTTCTGTTAGTGCATTTATTAAATGCATGAATCTTTTTGCCCACTACACTAATTACATTTTAATATGACTTGGTTTCCATTTGAAATTTATTGGAGATGCAAATAAAAGATTAGAGACCTTGTTCCAGTGATAAAGGAGAATCTTTAAAGATGTGTCCCAGTCACAACCAAATTTTAGAAATGCATCTGACTCATGACTAGAAATGTTGATGTGTCATTGTGGTGGATGTAATGCCTTTAAAGGTAAGTTTTAACACAGTGATGTCCTGTTTATCAGTATTCAATTTATTAATCATATGGTTACTAATCAAACACTGGTGTTACTTGCATAAGTTCTTCAATCTAAATGCATTGTAGACTCAAGTCGTAAAGTACAAGTTTCTACAGTAGAACCATTGTCACCATGTTTTTTTCTACCGTATTTAAGTATATCAACTTACCACAAGTCATAGTCTTTGAAGAAATGAGGATAATGTAGTGGTGTGGATTGAATGCATTATAAAAACAGGTGCAGAATAAAAGAGAGTCTGTGTTTTAATTTTGCCCCTCTACTTATCTTTGTCCTATCCACCCTCACAATTTTAAGGTGAGTGTTTCTTCTTTCTTTTTCCACGTGGAGTTCAATGTAAAGACCGTCTTGAGGTAATATGCTGAGCATAGCAGGACAGCGGCTTCCTGCCCTGCTTTGCTTAAATCATTGCTGCTTTTTATAGGTGGTACCATAATGTCCCATCTTTGAGCTCTCTGGGGTCATAAAATGCGTGCCTTCTTGGTTGAATGGTTAAAAAGGGCAATATATATTAGAAAGGTGAAGAAAGTGCTGGCCTTTCAGAAGATACGGAAAACATTCCCGGTTATTGTTTTTTTTTTTTTTTTTTTTCCTATCAGAACATAGCCTGGGCTCTGCAATGCCCTATACCGTTATTGCTATGAAAGCTGCTTTGGCACTTTGTCATTTATGTCCCATTAAATGAGTCATTCAGTGAAGGCAAACAGGGTCAAAAATGTCTCAGTGTCCTTTAGTTAGAAAGAAAGTTCAGATTATGTAAAGGTGCTTCAGGTCTCCACTAATCTCCTGCTGTTCCCATCTCAACTTTGAATGCCACTTGAAGTAATCACTAGAAGAATGAATGTGCTTCCTGCAGTTTTCAGATTTGATTTGGACGTTGAGTAACTTTGAAAAAAGGAAAAAAGTGCTTCTTCATAAAAATATCAATTGCCTCACACTGTGAAATCTATCAAATTGACTGTTTGATTAATAATGGACCCTTTACAGAACCAGTTTGCACCATACTGGTTCAGAATCTTTACTTGTAATTTCTGTCAGATTGGGATGGGACTTGGAGTTTCAAATTATCCTCTATTAGTATTCCCTATAGTAGATCTGACTTAGCAATGTTCATTAATGGCAAAAAAAAGATTAGGACTGCAATTTCACTGTTATTCATGTGAGGTTTATACAGTTTTTTGAAACTGGGAGAAATACACACAACTGTGATGAAAAACAGATAGAAAGAAGCAAAACCAGTGCATAAAAGGAAATACTGGTTATAAAGGGACTGTCACTAAAATGTAAATGAATAATCAAGAGACAGGGATTTTCACACTGCATTAGCAGCTCAGTGAACATCAAAATGAATTTCAAGTTTAATAACTGCACAGTCACAACTCTCTGAACTCTCTTTGTTTGGTATTATAAAGTGGTCAGATAGTGCTTTCATTTATTGCCCTTTTAACCCGACCCTTTGTGAAGTATAATTCCTTTGCACCTTTTGTCTGCTATCAGTGGGATTTTAAAAGAAAGCGGAGCAGGTTCTGTTTGCCCGTCAAAACCTTCTTCATTATTTCATAAATACAAACTGTTAAGAGGTTCAGACATGCATACATTTTATTGAGCTTAGTATTTAAAGTGAAATATCAATTTTTCCCTCAGTTAATATGGATCTTCATGGTTTAAACTGAAATAGCTATTCATACCATTAAGGATGCAGTGACATTGCACTGATCGCACAAAGGTGTGCTGACAGGCAAAGTACGTGTGCAATCCAAATGACAGTTAAATAGTGCTTCCAGGCTAAGGCACAGATTTGATAAATAACACACACAACAATATGTCTGAAACAAGGTGCAAAAGTCTTTGAAAATCTGGCCCTTGGCATTTTCTATTTCACTGCTTCTCCTCCTTTTCCACTACACTTCTTCTTTTGTCAGTTCACTTTTTCCTGTTTTCATCTTGCTTTTCTCTCCCTCAGCGGTAATGCCTTCAAAATCAAGTCCCATAAAAACGTCAGCACCCGGCACTGTAACTAAACTCCAGCATGACTGTACAACAAATTTCAATTACTCGGGTAGACCAATCTTACTTTTACCACCCATTTCACAGTCCCCAAGTCCATTACATAATTTCCGACGCCTCTCTTTGTCACATCCTCAGTTGGCATGATCTGTTTTCCCTCCATCTGTTTTGCTATAAAAAAAAAAAAGAGCACACAAATAGCACACTAATTTTACTCTCAACAAGACGTTTTTTTGGCCAATTTTTTATGTATTAAGGTCAAGTTTAAAAAGTTTTATTGTCACAGGCACAGTAAAACTAAACACATCAGTTCCCATTTAAATTACTGGACAATTAAATTATTATTTTAGCAGTTGCCCTTCACAGAAAGCTTATAAAAATTTTAACTTCTAAATTTTCTAATAAAAAAGAAACAACAAAGGTCCAAGAAATTTATAAAAGCACAAGTAATACATGTGCATACAAAGAAATTAGTTAAAGACGCCAGATATAACTGAATTGTA